AGTTCTAAAACTCAGCAGGGTGTTCCGATAACTGTTGAAGAGTCTTTCACCCGGTCGTAGCAAACTGATGGTTCTATCGGCAACAAGCTCTTCATGGTCTCATCTTTGCAGGAAGGGGACAGGGAGGACGGAGTTGGCGATGTGGGCGAGGAGGGGTTGGAGGTGGCTGCAGTCGAGGCAGATGAGGAAGAGTTGCCGTCGGGGAGGCACTCCTCGCAGCAGCAGCAGCAGCAGTCCATGAAGGCCTGGCCCAGCGAGCGGCACAGGCACAGCAGCAGCACTGGGGTCGCCGAGCAACGCACGAACAGCAGGAAATGTCCCAGCAAACCCAGAGCCGGCAGGGCCAGAGCCGGGAGAGCAGCGGACACGTGGGCGGAGACGTACGCCAGGGTGATGTTACAGATGCTCTCCGGCAGGTTGCATATGACGTACAAGATGGTGAGAGACATCACAGTTGTGCGCAGCCTCTGCTCTCTCGTGTGCTGCTTCTTCTTCGACGAGGAGGACGAACATCTTTCGATCACCTTTTCTATGGTGGGTTTCTGCGGGAGACGTTGGGCGACCACCTGCCTCGTCACTAAGTCGCAGGCCAGAGTGAAGAGCAGTGGCATACAGATGTAGCACCCGAAGACCCACCACATGCGGGCCTCATGGTAGGTCAGCACCAGAGAGTAGACGTTCTCTGGGAGCTCCACCGACGGCTCTCGGACACAGATATCCACCTTAAAGGCTTCTGATCGGGCCCTTAAGGCGGCCATCAGAGAGCCTCCTCCCTGCCGGTCACTGGGGAGCATCGGCAGGCTGACGGTCTCCTGCACCAGCTGCCACAGCAGCAGCTCAGGGGCCGCCAGCACCATGGAGCCCACCCAGATAACGGACAGCTTGGACAGGATGGACTGGCAGGGCTCCACCCTCGGCGTCTGTAGGGTCCCGGGGCCGGTGGCTGCATGGAAACGATCAATACTCAGAGCACAGAGGCTGAATGTGGCCACACCCAGAGAGCTCACCTGACAGAGACAAGACGGAGTTGCAGTCAGATGAAAGTTAATACTTACATTACATTTAATCAAAGAGGCCCTATTCTGCTCATTTTCAGGTTCATATTTGTATGTTGTGCATCTACTGTGACATGTCTCCATGCTTTAATGTTCATACTGCCTGTGCTTCAGCACCTAAAAACCCCAAAACGCATAGTAGGGCCCCTTTATAGGCTGACACTTTTCTCGCTTCAAATAAGCTTATAATTGTGAGTGCTGGTGCATTAATTTCAAATGAGCTATACTTTTTGTGTGTGTGTCTTAGGTTTAACAGCCATGGTAAGTGAAACAAGCTGGGTTAACAGTCTGTGACAGAAGATGTGTAGTCTTTCTGATGTCCAGATATCAATGGGGGTATACATCTTTGCAAGACTTATATCCTCCTCAGACAGTAAGCTCCACAGTAAGGGATAATAATAAATGATAGATGGCACACATTGGGGAACAAAATAGTTTTATATTGAAAAAATACATACACACAAACCTCCTAGAACAGAGCCTTTCCTAGTTATTAATAAATCAGAAAAACCTTTTCGATGTTATAAACCGTTAGTAAAGGATTCTTACAAGAAGCCTCTGTGTCTTTGCTAAAGTACAGAGAAAACGCCAGACACCAGTCAGAGGTGATAGCCTGCTCTGGATTTAAACAATACAACATTATTTAAACCATCTAATTATAATAATAATAATAATAATCTAAAGTTATTTAAACAATCTAATATATAAAAAAAATGCTTTCTTTGAACATTACAGAGCTTCTATTAAGCAGCTTAACTTTCACTGTATTCATTCATGCGGCTGCTCTCAGTTCAGTCAGACGTGACCTGTTAGCACGACTCAGACAAAACACGCCTTCATGCAGACAGATGGTTTAAATAGACCACAGGAAGGTGTTTTGTTGCTTAAAAAACAGATTTACGGCTTTCCTCTGCCTTGTTGTGCCAGCCTACAGGGAAATTAGCCACAACTACAGTAATAACAAGGTTCTAAGAAACTGCTTTAGAATACAGAAACAGGGAAATAAAAGGAGCCACAGAGGGAATAAAGAGCCATTATGTTGTCGCAGCTTTTAGCCGACAGACTGGAGACAGTTATTGGTGCCCCGTGCCCATTAACGTTGGTGGTTTTAGCCAAAAACACAGACTATCATTACAGAGAGTGCTTAATGGCCTCAAACAGTTAAGACACAACGGAAGACAATCAGCATGAAAATAGTTGAACTAACAGAGCACAGGGGCAGCTGGCAGCCTGACCCGCTTTCAACTTTGCTCAATAAGGAGACCACAAACTGCTAAAGACCACTTTGAGAACGTTAATTAATTAGAAAGAAATTCAGTCATTAATTTGCATGAAAATAGGTGAAGCAACAAAGAAAGGAGGAGGCCAGCACACTGACCTTGTTAAAGATTGCTTCGTACAAGCTGTTATTACAAATGAGTGAAACTCTACTTCAGTGATTTAGAGCTGTGTAGGCGTTTGGAAGTGGTTGAGAGCCAAAAACAAGGACTCCACACGATGAAACAGAAGACAGATGAAGCTGCTGAAAACCCAACATATAGCCAAGAGGCTGGGAGGGATCTCAGTTAATACTCTGTGAAGGAAACTCACCCAGAAAACTGAGATACTGCATGAACTTTCACATCATTATTTAGCTTTAAAAACATTATCGTTTAAAAAAAGTATAGAAATATATATACATACGTGTACATGTGGACAGTAAGATGTGTACAATATAAACAGTATCAACATGTAGAGCCGCTTTGAGACAGAGCAGGTAAGTAAAACATATATTTATATGTCTTATATTTTGGTTTGTGCATTTCTTAGACAAACCAAGCAATTAGAAGATGTGCTGTCTTGTGCTTTAGGACATTTGTATGGATTAATTTTTTCATTTTCTGAGATTACAGACATCTAATCGACTCGTTAAAAATGTATTGTGTGATTTATCAATTAACTTGATTGCAGCACTAGTTTTCATGTTGTTTTAATCTTTCATCAGTGCAAATAATATACAAGTGCAACCCATAGTGCAGAAACACTGGGTCTTAAAATAACAAAGAAATTTTTTCGTTTTAAAATGTGGCAAGTTAACTCCCCCCTCTGGAAAGCATAACTTGTCTTCCATGTCCCCAAATTCAACCTAGGTCCTTGATAACTATGGCTCTGTGTTTCATTGTGAGCTGGGCAAGAAGAGTCTCTTGATGCAGGGCCCCACCGGCCTCTACTGCTGCTTCATAACAGACGGCTTCAGAGGCCAAACAGCCCATAACAGCACGTTTGTTACTGCTCTGAGTCTGAAACTGAGCAGCAACAAGACACAGACAGGCCATTTATCACGGCCCTGGTGTCTCTTTATTAAACTGGATAACATTTACAATGAGTCTAACATGAGGGTATAAAAACAGCACTAACAGTGTGAAGGCAGACTTAATCATCACATTGAGTAGTTTGTTTGAACTGTTTAATTTGTTTGACATCTCTTGACAAAGACATCCACTATATAGAGAGAGAACTTAAATACTTCCAGAAGCAACTCATGGTTAGCCTATACATAAATAGCACTACTTGATTACATTATTGTGAGGATTTGCTGCTATTCTCGCTTTAAAAATTAGAGTTGGGTTTTAGACTCTTTTTCAAAGCTTTGGGATGTATTGGCAATTTTAGTCTTTTGGCACAAATTCTGAAAAGTTTAAGTTGCTCCGCTCGTTTCTATTTTCTCACAACTTCAACAGTCTAACTTAAGTTTCGGCAAAGTAATGTTTAAGTACATACAACTTTAGTAAATTAAAACGTTTCACACATTCATCTGCCCCTTCTCACCTCCAAATAGGGCACGAGCCGACAGGACAGGTCTCCTAGCAACCTCTTCAAGGTGAGCTCGTGGAAGATGACCACGGGGAGGCAGAAGAACAGCACGAGGAAATCCCAGAAAGCCAGCCCCGCGAGGATACAGTTCCACGCGCTCTTCAGGTACAGGTTGTGCCACACTGTGCACATGAGCGCGAGGTTGCCAACGATGCCCGTGGCGAACAGCACAAGGGCCAGCAGCATTACCGCGTACGCCGCGTAGGAGCCATCGGTGACCGGGAATAGCGGGTTGAGGAGCCCCGACCCGCGGACTGAAGATGAGTTAGTACCGGGCCGGGCTGAGGAGGCTGCCCGTGTAGTGGTGGTGAAGTAACCGCTCGGGTCGTCGTACGGTCGCCCGTTACTGCTCGGTGAGTGCGGCTCTCTTTTCCTGAAATTGCCATCCTTTGCTCCACGGGGGACACGCTTCAGGCCGGGAACTTTGAAACTTTCATTTCGGCCAAGAGAAGTCCTATCCGGGGAGAGAACATAATTTGTCCCCGGTGCCGGAGGCCCAGCATCCTCAGTCTCCATCGCAGACCCCGGCTGAACCTCCCGGGCTGATCTGTGACGGAGCTCCGCGGTCCGCAGACAGAGCAGCAGAAGAAACAAAACCGGACTCATTTTCGTTACCGTTTAAGTAACAACAACAGTTCTGTGTGATCCGTTTCTTTCACAGACATGTGCTGCAACAACTTCTATAACTTCCCTGTGTTATTAAAAAAAAGTCCATAAATCAGTTTTTCTGAGAGTCCGACCACCGTCCGGTCCTGATGCAAAAGTTTTGAGTCTGCTGCCTCAGCACTTGTTGCTCATCATGAATACAACACGGAGCTTCCGGTTATACATTTCAAAATAAAGGCGAAGTGGAACAGTGAAAATGGACATGAGGGCGTTTTAAATGTAACATTGATGTTACACTTCTTGGTCTTTTATAAGTTGTTTTTCTCCCTTAAAATTGACTGGATTGAACCATGGATGGAACCAAAAAATTATGAAATACAGTGATTTCTGGAATTGGGGAGACTGTTGTGTTTAAATAAACAATACATTTCAACAAACAAAGTGAAATCAACAGAATAAAAAAAAAATGCCATACATTTTTGCACATTTGTTTTTTATTAAAGTTTTAATAAACTCTTCTTTATGCATTTGAACCATTTGTATGAACAGGTTTGGTCCTCTGCAGTTGTGATTGGCTCATTCTGCTGATTGTCCACAAGGTTATTTGCAGCAGTAAAGCAACAAGAACACAAAACCAGACAGACCAAGAGGAAGTACTTCCCAGGTTAAAAAGTAATAGATGATCTTGAACTTTCCCACTGGGTGTCTCTCCTGCTGACTGTGGAAACCAGTCTGGGGCACGAAACGGCACAAAGGAGATGAATATTTCTAAAGTCCATACCAGTGAGGGGAAACCCAAACAATGAGACTTCACCTCCCAAAATTCTCAGCTTTTTACAGAGGTCTTCAGCTTCCTCCGGGCATCCTTGTGTTTCTTGCGGTACTCCTGTAGAAACAAAAAATAGAAATGTCTTTAACAAATGTTCCCAAATTCAACTCTGAGTTTGATGTTAATAAAGCATTACTTCTGTAAACATGCACAAATCAAAATGAACATTTAAAGATCTTCAACTCAAAGAAATGAGATGGCCTTTATCATATTTTGTGTAATTTTATGGACACAAATTGGAAGACTAATCAAAAATGACAAATAATCGTTAGATGCAGTGCTAAACAACACCTAAGCATATTGATAACATAAATACAATCCAGCTGTTTTATCGAGTAGAAGAAAACCTCTGAATTATTTTGGCCTAAATGGCTGAAAAGTTGAAACTGAAAGTCACCTGTCTGAGCTCGGTCCTCCTCTCCTCCCACTGCTCCTTCTGCTCCTCCAGCTGAGAGGAGCGGCAAAACAACTTGGGACCCTCTGATGGAGGAAACACACGGAGAGAAACATTTCAAAATCATTTTGTTATCTGTTATGTAGGTTTTCCACCAGGCAAACTTTTAACAGTTTCTGTGGGATCACACACATATACTATACAAGGTCTTCTTTTGTCATCTTCATCTTACCGGTCAGCCTGTTGTCTTCAGGGTAGAAGAAGAAAAGGCCGGTCTTTGTTGGAGTCTCCTCTCTGTGCACAGACACAGTTTATAAACCGACTGAAACAGACTGATAGCTGGCCTATTCATGAAGGTGAATTCTACTTTAAGCTGTTAGAATAATAGTTCAAACAAAAGAGGAATTTGAATACATAGAGCAGTTTACAGGAATCAATCGGAATGTTCTCACATTTTGGCGATGACGTTGCTTTGCGTCTTCTCGTCTTTCTCCTGCCCCTTCTCCTCCTCCTCATCTGAGCTGCTGTCATGGAAACGTGGGTCTTGTTGCCATGACAGCTTTGGCGCCTGTATGCTCTCTATCTTGTACTCAGCTGGAAGATATATAAAAAGTATTAAAATAAATCATCTCTCTGAGAGTCAAAGTAAATATCTGAGATAAGACCTACCTGTCTCTCCACTTCCTGTTTCTGCGTCGTCTCCAAAGAAAGAGAACTTAAATCCTGACGCCTCCTCTTTCTCAGCTGACAGGAGGGAAGACTCCAGGGTCGGCTGTTCAACCTGTTCTCCTTCCTCCTCCGGCTCTTTTTTCTTTTCTTCCTCTTGGTCCCAGTTTGTCTCCTCTTTTTCTGCAACAGCGTCCTCCTCCTCCTTTGTCTGACCGAACACAGCCTTCAGGTCACCGGACACGTCGTAGTAAATCTCTTTAGAAACCTCCGGGAGTTTCTGAGCTTCCTCCCTCTTCTTCCTCCTGGCTGCCTTACTGTGAAGACATCGGATCACATGACCGTTTTACAGAAGTACAGGTAGAGCTGATAATAAAGGGCGGAGGGGAGGACACATTTATTTTAGAACAACCTGGAAGTTATCATAACCCTAGGTCAGGGGTCGGCAACCCGCGGCCCACGGGCCGCATGCGGCCCTTTAAGCCCTCTGCTCTGGCTCCCTTGAGCTTAGACAAAAAATAAGAAGGAAATAAAATAAAAGTATTTGTAGGACTATTTATATTTTGTTGCATGGTTGAAAATGTTTCGTATCTTGTATTTTGAGGTGATACTGTGAGACATAAATAACTCAACTAAAATATGCGTCACATCCTGCTAAGGTCCCGCGCGAGCGCCTTTTCCTGCGGGTGAATAACCTGACCCCCGGCTTGATGAGCGAACTATGGATAAATCAAAGAAAAGTACCGGAGGAACACAGGATTTAATTCTGTGTGGACAGAGTTATATGCTTTCAGAGCAAACGATGCTGGTTTACCGGTATGTTTGATATAGAGAGAAGTTGTCAACGGTGCTGCAGCCTTTACGTATCGACAACGGGAACAATACAGAGAGGAAGACAGCTGACGATCTTCAGTCATAATTCAATGGGGTATGTAATTTATTTCAGAAAACACTTTTTGTTATATTCCATGGAATGCTCTTAACATCCCGATAGCAATGAATATATTAAATGCTTTGACAATAAATACATACAAAAATTAATCTCTGGAAGCCGTAGCGCTGTAAAAAGCACGACCAATCATCTGAGCCGGCCCGGCTAAAATAACTGGATGGCCTACCTGCCTGTCAGCCTGTCAGCCTTCCATCTGTGCACACATTTATCTCGTGCCCTCATTGGTCATGTGCGCGTTTGTGTGTGTTGGAGGAGGGGCTCTGTGAGGAAGTCTGAAGGAAGAGGCATATTTTTTCCGGTTGTGTATTTTCAAATTCTAGCACACTCGAGCTGGTTTCTCCATTCTTACCTACCCTACCTTTAACTATTTTTAGGGTGCAGCTATATGTTTTATTTATTTCAAAGTGGGCCCATTTTATAATATTTTTTTTCCTTCAAATGTGCAGAGGACTCCCCAAGTGCTGTGTTTAATTTATTTTAAAGTAGGCCTGTGTATTATTTTGAATTCTCCTTATAGGAGTTCTTTGTTTCTTATTAGAGGTTAACAGTTTTATATAATGTAATAAATAGCCTAATAAATGCAAAAAAACTGTAGTTTTTGTCTGATATAACAATAAATACAACTTTATTAGCTATCAAGCTATGAAATATGTTTTGCAGCTCTACACAAAAAAATGTTTTGGAAAAAGGAGCAAAATGGCTATTTTGGTCAAAAAGGTTGCAGACCCCTGCCCATAGGTTCTTCGACAAAAAGGCATTGTTTTTTTTTTTTAATTAGATTTTGGATTATTGCAGATAATAAGCTCTCGGACAAACACACATTTATAATGCATACAGGTCTTGTTCAGCAAGATAATCTTCAAAATGTTTCCAACACCTTTTATGCTTTTTAAGATTCAATGAAATCACCAGGGCCCAGGAGTTCAAAACTTTTAATCTCAATCAGATCCGATCAGATTTTGAAATCCCATTTTTTGTGATCCAGGATCAGATAAATCGGCCAGATTTTGTCTCTGGAGTTCAAAGCAATTCAGGATAGGATGAGCCTGATCCAGATTACGATTTTTCAAGATGACTAGATCCTGAATATCAGTGCTTTAATCCTACCGATCGCCATTTAGTGGACATGAAAAATAATACAAGGAAGACAAGAGACCACATTGCAGAGACATCTATAATGTTTAATTATATTTTTTTATTTGAAAGGTGATGACAGATGGACTTTTTTGTTGTTGAAGATATATTTACTTTAATCTAAATTACATTTGTGATTGACAATCTTTGCTGTGATACTTTTATGAGCATAAACATTTATGTGATCAACATTTGGTTGAAAACAAAATAGGCCACCACAAAAACGTGAGCAAAAATGGAAGAAATAAAATGTATTTCCGATGAAGGCTAAAAATTGTGTATTATTTCAGTTAACAAACGTTGCCATCTTATTTAAATTGAAACATATTTTAAAATCAATTGTACAGTACATTTTGCTCTGGTAGTCCACTGGAAATCCACCCCTTTGGTGGGATCAGGATAATCCAGTTTTTTGGGATCAAACTGATCCCAATCCTGTGTTGTTGGTTTGAACTACCCATTTTGAAGATTTGATCCAGATTAAAGCTTGGATTGGATTTCCTGATCTGATCTGATCGGATATGAAAGTGATCCTAATCCTGTTTTTTGGTTTTGAACTCCCCAAAATCCAAATCTGATCTGATCAGATAGGGATTAAAAGTTTTGAACTCCTGGGCCCTGAAGTGAAAGAGATATGTTAGGATCAAATTGAACTACACCGCAGTCACATGACTTCATCCTCTACTAAAGTCCTTCCTCTTAGGGTGGTGATATAATACGTTGGGAAGATTGACCGTGAGTTTAAACTCAACAAGTCTTTTAAAGTGTGTTGACATTACATGTTCCCAACAACCTTTTAGCCACTTGTGAGCAACCGCCATTTTTAAAAGGCACGTACTGTAAAAGCTTCAACCAGGGACGTATTTTATTTCATAGAATGGAACAAGGCAATCTCTTGTTTTAACCACAGACTTATTTCAGGCATCTGACCATGTACCCCTTTGATGAATCCATTAAAATCCAGATTAGGGATCAAGAAGTTGTAAAATACTAATTTATTTCTTTGTTTTAGGACTCATTCCTGCATAAAAATATTTGGTAAAGATGACCTATTTGTACATTTGGATTGGATTATTTGATTGGTTTGTCTTTGGCAGACTTAAACCTATAAAATATGTCTAGTTATTTGGGTCAGAATCCGAGCAGATGACATGGATCGGTGAGTTTATTTTTTCTGTGTTCGTACCTCTCTTTCTTGGTTTCCTCTGTCTTGGTCTCAAACGCAGCGTGTTCCTCTCTGCTGGGGTCGTAGTGCAGCGCTGACACATCTCTGCAAAAAACACATTTTATTATTTGGATTTATTTCCTATTTCAGATGAAACATGTCCACATTGTGTGAATGTGAGTGAGTCAGTGTGCTACCTGAAGGTTTTGGCCTTGCTGGTGGTCTTGCTGCTGCTGGAGGTGTGCTGGCTGATGCCGAGGACGCTCTGCAGGATGGAAAGGCTCTTCTTCCTCTCCTCCTCCAGCGCCTCCTCTTCCTCGGTCCCGCTCTTTTTCTTCTCTGAATCACAAACCCACGCTTTATTTAACAAGAAGTTGAGGTCACAGCTTTCACTTCAGTGCAATAAATTACAAATGTCCAGATGGACAAAACAAAGCATATCACACAAACAAAATGTATCCAGCAGGATTAAAATACGACTCTCTCCCCTTTATACATCATAAATGCATATTTTTAAGCCTAGTTCTAAATATGTTCTCGCACTGACAGAGAACATTCCAAATCTTTACGAGAAGTTACTGTATTCATTTCTTTAGACAACAACTCGTATTTTGACGCAAACCTAAAGACAATGTTTATTTTCTTAGCTTCACTACTGGAAAGCTCCTGAATGAGCCTTTAAAATCAATTACAAAAATACACCCACACATACTTATTTGAGAAAGAAATTAGATGAAAATGAAATTAATAAAAATTACTTTTGTCCAAAAATAATAAATCTTGTGTGAGAGAAGGACAAATGGACCAATAAGGAAATGACTGTTTTATTATCAGCCTGAATCATTGAGCGTGAACATACCAGGGCTGCGGTCGGATAATCAAAAAATCAGCTCCTAACGTCTATCCCTATCGTCTATCCCTTGACCTCTGAGTGAAACGTCACAGGGTTAAGGGATAGTGGATAGGAGAATTCAAAAGGACTTAGGAGAAGAGACTGCGGTACTTTAGAGAATCCGAATGCACTTTCACTATCCGACGTGTTTATGATGCGCCAGCGGACGTCATTGTGTGCGTCTGCTGCTGTGGGGAAACTATGGAAACTACAGTGTTCTATACAACGGACTACATGGATGTTTAATAAGAACGAGGGACTACTGTAAACTCATCTAGAGACTCTGCACCGTGCTCTGATGCTGTTGTTTTATGCTTTATGAACGTGGATAACAGAGAAACATATTCTTCATGACCAAAGTTGGAATTGAAATAAAAAAGGAAAGTGAAACTTATGCTCGTCACCCTCTCCCTCCGATCCACATTAATACAAATGATCCCAATACGTATGATTGTATGAAAAGATCTTAAAATCAATACAAATGTATTTATTATAAACGTTAGTCCTTAACACCTATCACTGTGTATATCACCATTCAAACATCTTTTAAAAGTTGAACAAACCCCACACAGCTCAGTGAAATGTTGACTTTATTTGATCATTTCAGCATTTCAGTAGTTTTCACTACTCGCGTATAAAAGCCCTGCCCCCACCTTCACAGTTGGTTGACTTCAACAGAGGAAAACCGACAACTGGAAGATGAGTGGAAAAGCGTCACATAAATGTATA